GAAATAATGCACTTATCAATAGTATTTAATTCAAGGCACTTGTCTATATATAATAACTCTGGAATCTTTCATTGGTGAAAAATAATATGTTAATTGTTATGATCTAGCTCTCATAGGTAATCTAAAAATTTGGTAAAATAATTTTTAAAAAGACTGTTGGGCTTGGGGGTGAAGGGAGTGCAGGGGTAAGCGGAAAAATGAGAATCAAGACTTGTAGGTACAAGATCCCAACAATGAATGTAACTGTACTGTATCGCTAAAATGTACCAATAAACTCAATTAAAGCTGAAAAAAAAAAAAGACTGTTGGGCTTAGGAAACCTACTGGACAGGACTCCCTTGGTAAATAAAGATACAGCTGCCTGGAAAAATTTTATTCCAGCCTTTGTTCACAAAGGGGACCCCAATAATTTCCATAGCCTTGTGGGAAATACTTTGCTAAACATATTGTTATATGTATACATTGGTTATGGTCAAATGGCTCAATTTTCTATGGGAAAACAATAAGGTTTTAATTAGAATGCTCTTGGTACAAAACAAAATTAAATGACAAAGGGTTTCATGTAACTGATGCACATTATTATTTCATGATGTATATATTCATGCCTTCTGGGTATAGAGTCTTCTAGGATATTGTTTATGGTAATTATCATTTTGACTCAGGTATCTGCTTGTCTTGCATTACAGCTCCTTGTGATAAGAGAAATATGTCAGGCCAGCATGAGATAACCAGTCAAATAATAGTTTTCTTAAACTTATGTATGTTATATGTGTCACCGCACTTACAGATGCTCATTTGCCAAATAATTGAAACAATGTCATGTACTAAAATTAGAGGTTAGACATTATGAACTCCTAAGGCACATTTACAGGTCAATATGTATGTTCTCCTTATATGGCATCCTACTAAGAGCTTTTTTTAAATGTTATTTAATATCTTGTGATCAGATGGAGGTATCTGACTGAAAGCATCATGATTGTCATACAAAAATGTATGTGGCTTTTAATTTTAAGGTTTTTTAAAAAGTTTTCTCTAATACATAACTATTTTCTGTTAACATTTTGCAGGGATTCAACTACTAGGACAATCATGGTTGATAAGAAATAACAGCCCCCTAACTATGCTTTATATTTGAAAGTGCTTAATGTCCAGACAAAATTATAATAGTTAAGCTCATTGCTCCTACTGCACTACTAATGTCACCAATCTTCTCTTCTGGGTGTTCAAAAACTAAAGTTTAGAGAGCAACACTAGAAAGGTAACCAGGCTATGAGGACAGCCAATATTTTGGCCCTGAACTCTCAAGGTCTACAAGATCCAGGACACAAAAGAACCTTTCCTACAGGATCCTATATCTTTAGTAAGTCACTCAACCTTCCGAACAGGGAGATTGCTGGGCACCAGAGGACAATTTAAACTGTGTGCCAAAGGAGGGTCACCATGACGGGAAAAGTCTCCCATGCTTTCACTGAAAGTAACATGGTCAAGCAAGGCCATGACCCCATCCTGACAGCTGACACTGACAGAGGAGGTGAGAGGCTCTATGCATCATTCCAAAATAATGCCTGAAGAGACTTAAATGACCTTGATAGATAGCAAGAAGTTCATGTTGATTGACACAGATCTCCTTTAACTTGGTCTTAAACATTCAGCAGAAAGAATAACCAAAAAGGGTATAAAATAATGCCACAGTAATAAAGCTAGATATAAAAAGGGGCTCCAGTCACTGACTCTTTCTGGCAGTTTCTAGCTCTACCAGTAGCTGACCATGGTTATAGATCATTAGGAAAAAAACTATGGTAAAATCTATAAGAGCTCAGCTAGAGTTTTATATTTCTTAATGAAATTTGTTCTTCAAATTGTCTCATATCTTACAGCTAAAACTAGAGAGACTTACAACAAAGTATTGGAGTTACAGATAACCTCTATTAATGAAAGAATTTAAATCCAGCATGTTAAATCACTATTTCAATTTCACATGTGACTTTCTCCTCAACCTGCCCTTTGATTCTAATGTTCTCATGCTTAGGTTATGCGGACTCTAATTTCTTAAAGGGTTTGTTTATTCTTTCCTAGAGGTTGGCAAACTCTAAGTGGTCATACAAATGGAATCAATGACAAATGTGTTAGACTTCTTTCCCTGGAATCCACCAGATCAACCTTGTAATCAGCTCATAAGTGCTAAACTATTCAATATGACTTCTGTGTCAGATTCTGAAGTCCCCTGGACCTTTCTTCTTATCCTCTTTGTGGGCTGTATTCATAGCAATACTGCTGAATTTATAATTTGGCCCATACATTCTTAACTATTTCTTTGGCTTTGTCTCCTCCAGATTTAAAATTTGTGCAGCTAACAAGATGAGGATGTGTGGTGCCTATCAAAGGCCTTTAGATAGACCCTCTGTAAACTCTTAAGGGCTGACCACAACTATGACCCTTTTCAGCTGAAAGTAGCCATAGTTGTCTTCACCTTTTGCCCCCTCACAGCAGTTAGGGGTACTTCTTCAGAGGGGGGAATATTGCAGATACGTAAGTTAATTAGATACCTTGTAGGCAGTTAGACAGGGCCACCCTCAAGTAGCCAGCCCTCAAGGAGCCAACACAGCAAGGAGCCAACATGGAGGACAATCAAGACATATTCACTGAAGGCCAGAATTGTACAAGGAGAGAAACTACATACCCTGTGTTTCCCCTGGGGATAAACAGCAGTGATTGATATTCTAAATAGATATCAATCACCCAGGTCTTTGGCCATGGTCTTAACCCAGCCTTTCCAGGAAATATCCCTGACCCCAACCCTTACTTAAAATCCTTGTATGCTTGCTATTTGACTTCATCCCCATTTAATCAATATTACCTGGGTGGCTGTACTTGTAATCTTATTAGTTGGTTATAGTTTTGCCCCACCTCATCCCCACCTTGTAATTTTCTGTTGGGTCTTATAATTTTGTCCCACTTTGTACCCACCTCACCACATGGCTTTGCTGTATAAAACATCTTGGAAAAGTGAGGTGAGCAGGCAACCCACTTTCCAGTCCCCCTTCTGTCTCTCTTAGAAGGAAGCTTTCTTTCCCTCAGTAAATTTTTCCTACTCTTAAAAAAAAAATGGATGTGATATTATTTTCATAACAGTATAAACCTCTTCTAAGTAAAGAGGTCATCTAAATCATAGTTTAATGATGTAAAAATTTTTATTTATTACATTTTTATGTTTAGGAAAGGTGTCTGCTAAGAATCTTTTCCCCTTTAGGATAACAATCTCCTGTGCTGTAAGAGGAAATGAAAAATTGTGAACTACATATTGAGAAAGTGAATCAAATATTTCCACCATACAAAATATGCTTATTGAATAAAGTTTGACCCAAAATGTTTTTAAAGAAAGCTAACTAACATGTGAGTCTTTACTCTCTTTCTTTAATTTTTGCCCTGTCATTGCACATTGACCAATACAGATGGGCTACATAGATATAATATTATATGTGTGATTATCCATAATGAAGCTCTGAACTAAGACTCAGAGGCCAAATTCACACAGGTGTACACAGTGCTTTGGTATTCTTGCCCCATGTGTCATCAGACCTTTCACTGGTTCTATTTTGTTTTCAACATTTCTTAATGCCTAAAACTATGGATTATATTAACTTTTCATGTCATAGCTGCACAATACTGTATCTATAAGTGTACTTATTCAATTCTCAATTGTGTGTAAAAACTTATACCATTTTCTAAAACAGGCTTACTTTTCTTTATTGGTAGATACATATTCATAGAATGTTGTCTCTGGCATGCAAATATTTAATTTTTGAAAATATTTTAAATAGGATAGGGGATGTGCTATTGATATGAAATATATTCTAAAATCAGACTTTGGATGAGTTTCTGGTTTATTGATGCATGTGATCAAGAACAGGTTTTCTACAATGTTAGTAACTAACTTGCCTTTCAATTCCTAAACTCAATACAAAGTACTTTTGCCAAGTGTTCTAATTTAAACAGAGGTTAGCAGGAAGGATTCAGTTTACATAATTCCTTCAAGTAGGAAGTCAGACCTTTCCCACATAGATGAATACTTTTAAGTACAGGTAAAAATAGTATATCAAGATGTTCGCTTGGGGAGCAGGTTGTGTATAGGAGTTCTCCATTAGCAAACTCTCACATAAATTCAAGCCCAAGATTATAGGCAATAATCACATTTGCCATTTATGAAACTATTCGTTATAATTGAGAACAAATGAATTGTGTGATATGATTTTGGAGTGATAAATCTGCAATATGCTAAGGAAGACAGAGACTGTTATGTATTTAGAAACAACCCATCTACTACCAGGAGGATAATCCATAAAGACTGCTGAATGAAATGATGTAGTATAATGAATGAATGACCTCAACAAAGTCAATGTTTCATTTTATAACAATGATTACTAATATTCTCTGTGTAGTACTTCTATATCCCTGAAAGCAACATGGTATGTTCAGATGCTTTCTTTGGAAAATAAAACAATATCACAAAACAAGGCAATTAGATAATTTTTGACAGGTATTTCAGAAAAGATGTGATTAACAAGGTGACTAATGGCACTAGAAATGCAAACTAATCAAATATGAGGGTATCTCAACAATTAAACTATTATTTATTTAATAAACATTACAGAGGAAAGGGACACTTAAGTGGCATAAAGTACATAAATATAAACATTTATTATTTTAAGACTCATATTAAAACATTAACCACTTGAAATTGGTTACATAATTCAAATATAGAAAACAAATACTTTTCCTCAATAAAATAATTAATAGATGTTCTATTCCTCTACACTCTTAAAGGTGAGAACTATTGTGACTTTCCTAACAGTGAAAACTTAACTGATTATGATCAGAAACCAAGGCAAAAATTTTATAACAAATACCAGATAAATTAGCTTTCTCCAAACATATGAAACCATGCATGCATGCATGCACAATTGCTGTTTGAGAATTCAGATTGAATCAAAACAACTTACCTGACACAACAATAATGAGAATCTTAGCATTGGTAGCTAGGAGACCATGGAAGAATTTCAGAGTAGCTGGAATATCTTTTACATAATACAGCATCTAGATATGGAGCAAAAGAAAAATGAGACACTTTGTTGGAGTCTTTGTTGGTTGAACTAGATATTCAATAAAAGGTTTGAATTTCAAGCTGAGTAAATTTTTATACAGACTAAAAAGAAAATACTCTAGATATTTAAAGATATTTATGGAGAGATAAAACAATAATGTAAGAATAAAATGACAATGTAAGAAAATATTTGGGGAAAGGGAAAATATGGCATTTACCCAACTACAGCCAAATAGATTTAGCTTTACTTCCTGGTGTCTATAACATAGACATTAATAGCTGGAGACACTTAGAATCCATTGCACATGAGAATGCAGATCTTATGCCTATTCTATACTTTGTGAATTGTAGTTCTTCTGGGAGCAAGTGGTACTGGCACCATAAAAACAGACTCCATTTCATGGAACATTGTTTTAAAATTAAGCCCTATGGAGAAGCCCTAGCTTCTCCATATGCTCAGAGATTTTTTTTTTTTTAAACACAGAAAATGTGACAGGCTTTGATGTTGTCAGATTCTCTAAGACACTGGACTGTATCAAACATGAGGTTATATGCTTGGTCACAAAGTGTAAAAGAGTTAGACAAACCACTTTTAGTTAGCTGCAAGCCTTTGTACCCAACACACAGAACTTGATGTTATGCATTGGAAAACTGTCCCTAATTGTGTGCATCCTTTATCCACTAGAGAATCTGTCCCTTCAGACACTTCCTGTATCTCATCTTCATCTCTTTTGGACAAAAAGTCAATATTCCATGTGCGTGTCCACAACAGAATTCATTGCACAAAGGGAAAACAATTAAAGTTATGACTCTTCACATGAATGAATGAAATAATATAAATCTGAACATGGTCCATGCTGCCTTAGGAGCTCCTGTTTAGTATTGGTTCACTCTATGTCATCCACCACAGGGACTATAGATCGGTCCCCGAATGCAGCTAATGCATGATTAACAACTTATGACTCTACCTAGATGAAAAGACAGTGGACTAGAGCAGATTCCCTCATCTTTATCTAAAATACACTTAGATCTTTATTCAACTGTGAATACTTAGTTGAAAAAATGTCATCAAGGTGTTATGATAAGTACAAATGAGGAGCCATAGTTCAGAAAGATGCATAGTATCTAAGGTGAGAGAAAGAAAGAGGAATAGAATAGTCATGTGGAAGGAGGCAGAGCTGCTATGAGAAATAACAAACAAAGTCTTAGAAGAAATAGAAGAAAGAATCTGATTCCTAGAGGTCCTATATGACAGGGAGAAGAATGGGATTTAGGGCTTAGGTGCAGGAATAAGAGGAGGTTATAATAATACGGAAGAAAGAGATGGTGGTTGTAAATGCATCTACATTTGCAAGTTCAGAGGGTAAAAGGTGAGGTTTGTCTGAGAATTTCTATTTTCTTTCTACAGTATGAAGTGAGCTCACAAGTGGGCATGGGAGGTCGGAAGGTTACGTGAGATATAAAGAGACAGAGGAGTTATGAACTAATGTGAGGACATGGGAAAGCACGTCTAATAGAGAAACATTCTAGATATGCCAGACAATGCTAATTACTCCCCAAGACACAAAAGATTTGGTCAGCTATGGAGCAGAGATATATGATTGCCAGAATATTTCAACTTTAGAGCTCTTTCTTCCTTCGGTTTCTTACCAACTTAGTGCTTTGGAGTAACTATAGTTGTGGGCTACAGAAGGAAAAGTATTTTATTGTTAATCAAGTGGAATACCTAAAATGCATATATCTCCCAACAGTAGCCAACATCCAAACTTTCATGGTACACAGAAATACTAGTGACACCTGCAGATCCAGCCTTGTGACATTTACTAATCACTAGTTAGTCTGTTAGTGCTAGACCACAGAAATAAAGTCTCACTGAATTCATATCGGTAAAACATTATTGGTCTCAGGAATCATGGAATCTATGCTCCTTCTGCCATGTACATACTAGCCAGGCCATCCAGAGAAAGCCAAAGGAAAATGATTCAGAAAAACTCTGGAACGCTGGACCTTAGACCATTACAGCCACTCAAGAACTGGTTAGGATATGTTGTCATGCTACTATCATCAAATCCATGTATAGAATTTCCATTGCACAAAACTATTTAAGACAACATTGAAAAAAATGGTGCCTACTAAATGAAGACAACCAGCTTTTTAGATATTAATGCAAATTCAAGCTCTAGCAATACTTTCATTTGTACAGATAATATTTACTTTTTAAAACTAGAAATCAGAAGATATCCAAAAAATAGTAAAACATTGTACATTATTCATACATGTATGTGAAAAATCCCTTTTCTGATAGTATATTACAATAAATATTTCTTACCTGAATCATATGAATAAAGTCCCACTTATGAATCTCTTTTTTCTCCATCACTCTGTTTTGATATTCAGACGATGTCTCCTTATGCCAAGCAAACTTTATGTTCTCGAGGTTTGATGTCTTGGCTACAAGCTCTAAAATTCAGAGAAGAGGTGGCACATCAATTTTAATTGCAAATGTGGAGCCCATTTCCATTTAGAATTTTAATGCAATCAATGTTATGTACATAACAGATACAAACCACGTTTTTCTTTTTTATATAGCTCTGAGAAACCAAAGGGCTCATTCTGATTTTTTTTCCACTATTAAATGAAACTAGAGGTTAAAGAAAGAGTCAATCAGAAATAATGGGAACCTGGTCAGACAAAGGTTATATTAGTTTAAATAGGGACTCAATTGGTGAATTTTATTCACAGAAATTTGATGTGAAATAGGTGACATGTTTGTGTGACCCAAGAAGAGACGAACCACAGCTGGGGGCTTCATCTGGCCCACCATCTATTTTCCTATGGGCTCCCACCTAAAACTAGACATGGTTCTGCTTTGTAACTGTCATCATCCATGTCTCATGCCAGTTACATTACTGAATAATTAGAAAATATCAAAAGGATAAGTTGATAATTTGTCAAATTGATATGAAATTCAAATACTGGTGTTTACAAATAAAGTTTCATTAGAACACAGTCACACTTGGTTTACACATTGTTTATGGCTGCCTTTGTGCCACAGTACCAGAGTTGATTAGCTGTGACAGGTTGAATGCACTTGTGAATCTAAAACATTTACTGTTTATCCCTTTTCAGGAAAATTTTGCTGCCTCCTCCTGTAAGCCATTAAACATAAGCTCTTTCAGGGCAGAAATTCTGTTAAATATTTCTCAGTGAATGAATGAATCAATCAATGACTCTGTCTCAAAGAATCAACTTTAAAGACAATAGCTAATGATGACAGAAGAATGGATAGTGTCAATGAAAGAATCTAATTATACATTGTTTATATCTGAGGTGTTCAGTCATGTCTGCAACAAATAATTAGGTTCTTCTCCCAGCAAGCTTAAAGAGAGACTATCATGGTAACTGTACTATTAATCATTCAAAGAAAAAAAATTGAGATGATAAACCCTTTGGAATAAGATTTTGCACACAGATCAGTGGGTTACAGGTACCTTTGTACTTGGTGATCTGTTCAGCACTTGGTTCAACTACTTCATTGTTGATATGAACTCCTGGGTATTGCGCCTTGACTTTGGAGAGAATTTGAAGATCAATTTCACCTAGAAAATAAATATATCTGGAATAATTTGCATCCAGGAAGACATGTTTAAGAACAGTTTGAGCTGATTTATTATCTGCTTTACCTTTACAAGAAAAGACTAGCATAGAGAATAAAGCTCAGTTATTGCCCTGTCACAATGCCTGTGGTACAGAAAAGCTAGGTTTTGAATAGGAACAATGTGACTGGAGGAGGGGTAATGATGCCATTCATTCATTCATATAATCTTTCATAGCTATTACTGTATTTCATTAAATCAAAGATAGCACTGACTGTAGGAAACAATCTATTCTTTTTGTTTCACTAAGTAAAATAACTGTCAAGTTTAATTTAAAGATTTTGTCATTTGAAATATATTACTTAAATCAGAGATTTTAAACTATGGAAAAGAATATGTATCTTAGAACTAAATAAATTAGTCTAGGCTGGAAGAATTTTTAAAATGTTAGTTGAAAAATGATACAAACATATGTTAGGTACAAATAGAGGATACAGAAATATGTCAGGCATCTGCCTTCAAAAACTCCATTGCCTAATGGAAGGGATGGACGCAGAAACTGTTCTGGATGTACTGGGATGGATGAGGGGAGGAAACACTGTGGTTAATGGGTGAGCGAAGAGGCCAGAGTGTGGCAGAGCTTTATGAATAGTGTCACTCTTGAGTTCTGCCTCTCTAGGTGTGCTGGAGTTGCTCCAGAGACTTTAGAGAAGTGAGGGATTGCAGCAAGAAGGGACAGGTTAACAGAGGCACAAAGTCAGGCAAAACAGGAGTACATATGGACCTAGCACTGGAATATTCAACAAGGCAAAACCTCCAAGCAAGAGGCGCTCCCAAGGGTAAACAGAGAGGAGAATGTGGGTCAAACAGGTATTTATTCATTATTTCATTCCTTCATCAGCTTCTAGTTGACTGTTTACCATGTGCCAGGCCCTGCAGTAGGTTCCAGTCAATAAGGATAAGAAGAACAGGTGATTCTCTTTCCTGTTAGAAATTCAACCTGCAAGTGATAGTATAGGAGACAGTGGAAAGTCAGAAGGACTCAAGTCCCAAACCTTGTCTTTTCCATGTACTAAGTGTAAATGACTTTAGTCAGTTTGCTTTTCCTCACCAGAAAATAAAAATAATAATAGTACCTAATTTATTAGTTATGAAGGTTACATGAGGTAATGCATATTAATTATAGTGCAAAACGGAGTTGGCAATGAATAAATGTTAGCTGTTAATTACTTTATTGCTATCACAGAATTCCTCTTGTTAAAAACTTCCTTTCCTCCCTACCACTGATGTCTCCAAATTAAGTTTTACACTTTTATTTGATTAGATTAGCGTGTTGACCTTCATTAAAATGGAAATACCTTTTGGCAAGATTAGCATATGGAAATTATGTTAGTCTTTAATGTTTTGGCATAAATGACATTAACGAACCTTTCCAAGGTTAGACATGGAAGGCAGCAAAAGCACAAGGCATAAGACTTAGAGATTCGGAAGGAAGGAGATGAGAAGATAAGCCAGGAACAGAAGATGCTAGGCTAGGAAAAGAGGGCAGTCAACGGCAGAATTACAATCCCAATTACCACTAAGCGGACCTGAACTCTGGAGTCCATGTGTGTGGAAGGGATGGAGGGCCAACAGGAAGGAAGATGAAATAGGGGATACAGAATTTAATTTTTTTCCAAACTATATAAAATTTTTCCTGCTATATAAAATCTTTCATCCTTTCCCTAACAACGACAGCTATCATTTACTGGCTACTTACTATTTGCCAGACACTGACTGTGTCACTTGCTCCTGATAGTCACTCTATGATATTATTCCCAAGCAGACAAGATGATTTGAGTATGTTGATACTCAGGAGATATTAATATGACTAATTTTGGGGGGAAGGGCACTGGGGATCGAATTCAGGTCCTTGTGCTTGCAAGGCAGGTGCTGGAACCACTGAGCTAAATCCCCAGCCCAAATATGACTAATGTTTAAGGCACTTCTGTCTAAATCTGAAATTTTTGGTTTTTAACCACTTTATACCAAGGATTAGGAAGATGCTAATACTAAAATGACATAAAAAACTGTTTCATTCTTCTCTACAACAACTATTTTTGAAATAAAAAGGCAAAGAGCTAATAAGAAAAGCTATGGGCTAGTGAGAAACAGGGATCCCACCCTGCCCTAAAGGACTAGGGACACCAGATGATGAAAGCTCTTGTCTAGTTCCATCAGTATAGATAGCCACTACCTTCAATTTAAGCATCAGCTATGAGAAACTCAAACTCAGAATTTTGAAAGAAATAAATGACATGTTTTCCCCTCCCTGAGGTTTGATTATATCTCCTTCTCCTGAGATGGATTCAGGCATTTCAGATCATTTTAAATAGAAGATCACAACCAGCACAGTCAAAAGCATATTAAAAAACAGGGAGTCCCTGCTCCTGAATCACTGATAAAAATACAATACTAGAACTACAAATCCAAGATTTGGAAACATTGAGTTCATACAGCCACATCTAGAATGCAAGCCCGGGTATGCTGAGTCTCTAGAAAAATCGGTAAATAACAGGACGAGGTACCGAGACTGTGTCCTTAAAAGCAAGCACATAGACTTTATTTCTGACTTCATAAGCCAGGTGACTATATTTCCTGCTTTCCAAGGACAGTTTCATTTATGCCTATTGTCCTGTATCCCATCTGGCTTTGTTTTTAATTTTTTTCATTTTTAACATTGTGATATTATTATAATTTTATGTCTGAGAATAACTTTCTTCCCCAAAGAACTATTCCTTAAATAGATCCCTACAATAAAACAGACATTAAATTGATTAAGACATAGCTTTTAAGATTATAATAACTTTAATCATTCTACCTACTTACTCCATCTCTCACTGTCAAAAAGTATCCTAGCTTAGATAATCAGTAATACCACTGTGCACTCACGGTCTTATAAAAGTCCACTCCTCGAAGATAGCACCCTTCAGTCATCCTCACATTGCAGAAGAGGCTCACTAGCTTCCTTGAACTCTAGTTCCATTGAACTAACTCAGTGTCTTGAGATCACTAATTCAATTCATGAGGACAGGGCCTTGATGATCTGATCACATCCTAAAGGTCTCATCTCTCAATGCTATTGTATCAGGATTAATATTAGTTTGGGAGGATTATAAACACTTAAACCACAGCAAATATCAATGAGCCTGGGAACAGGGATTTATCTCAGTGACTCAGGTCCTGCCTCACCAGTGCAAGGTCCTGAGTTCAAGTCCCAGTTCCAAAAAAAAGAAAAGAAAACAAAGGAAAGGAAAAGAAAAAGCCTAGATGTAAACTATGGACTTTGAGTGGTCATGATATGGCAATGTAGATTGATAAATTTTAATAAATGTACAAAATGTTTTAGAGGAGGCTGTTAATAGGGAAGCCATGAATGCACATGAGAGGGGTGTATAAGTAATATCTCTATCCTTTTAACTTTGCTAAATTTTGCAAATTTCTCTAAAATATCTTTAAAGCAATCAAAGATTTATATGAAGTTCTTCATCATATATTGTAGGCTAATCACTTAGCATTTAGTTATAATTATTTTCTTCAAATTTTTACTTGTGCTGTACATTATCTATCTAGTCATCCATTTCTTTCTTTTATTCTTCCCTGGACAGGAGATTTTATACTAAATGATTCTTTGCTTTTTCTTTTCTGTCCCTAGTCAGCAGTGCCTTTTTTCAGGCCTTGTGGTGATTAATCTTGATTATCAACTTGATTGGCTTAAGAGCTGCCTAGGAGGTTAGGAAAGTACACTTTGGGATATGTGTACAAACTGTATCTGACCCCTGGCCCCTTCTTGTTGAGCTCTTCCACTGTCCTCTGTTCCCAGATTCCATGAGGTTAGCAGACTTCATCTACCATGCCTGTGTGCTATGATGCCCCTGCCTTGGTTCCAACTGATCAAAAACTCAAACCTCTGAAACTGAGAGCCAAAGTAAACCTTTTTTTCCTGTAAGTTGCAGCCGCCAGTCCCCCCTACCCCAGTGATAGAAAGCTGACCAATAGAGTCCCAAATCATCAATGGTCAAGAATACTGCATTAATATCCTAAAAGTTCAGCCCACTTCTTTCTGGTCTTATCTACCACAAAGGCATCAACATGACAACCATTTTAAACTCTACATTAAGAAAATCCATTACTTCACTGTTTAAAATCTCCTAATAGATTGATCACTTGGGCGAAGGCCAAGCTCCTTGACTAAACATAGTTCACACTGCCTGCTTTGTTCCTATCTCTCACAATATAATATTGTGAAAATTTGGCTTCAAGAGCTCTGCATCATTCCTGCCTCCCCCATGCACCATACTATTCCATGACTTTTGACTTCCCCTATTTTCTTCCTGTTTGAAATACTCTCCTTCACTTCTTTACTCTATCTGCTAACTCCAACACAACTTAAATCTGTAAGTGGATAATTATTCTGATATTCTTTTTTATCTTTATTAAATTTATTGGCACACTTTAGGGATATAATACAGTTACATTCATCATTGGTATCTTGTACCTATACATAACTTATCACATTCTTATTTTTCCCCATTCCCCAGCCCTCCTATTCTGATATTCTTTCCCACAGAATTCTGGAGGCAGCCTCAGAATCCTTCACACAGTAGCTAATCATCAACTGCAGATGCTGGAAACACAGATAATATCTACTTGTCTTCCCTGATCTAAATTTTGCTTTCCTGGGCCAGTAATTTAGCTCAGTGCTTCCATTGCCTGCCTCACAAGTACAAGGACTGGAGCTCAATCCCCAGTACAAAATAAATAAATAAATAAATAAATAAATAAATAAATAAATAAATAAATAAATGTGCTTTCCTTCACATACTTGAATCCTTAGCAAATGCTTGGATTCCAACAAGTTTGCTAAGAAAACTTAAAATGCGAGACTAAACAAATGACCTGGTTTGATTAACAATAACTAAAAAATGTATGAGTGGTTATTGGACTTTATGGCATCATGATAC